GGGGGGATTTCAGGGTGTTATTGCTGGGGGACCCAGAGGATCACCGACCCTGCCAGGAAGAGGGCAGCTCAGTTTGCTTTTCACACCAACCATGGAAAAAGGTTTCCTAATTGCATAGAGCCAGCGCCTTCCTTGGGGCAGGACAAAGATCCCGGGCTGGGCAGCGATCTCCTCGGCTCCGGGGAGTGCATTTGATCACAGTTTGGGGAAGAAATTTGTGACCTGCCTCCCGGCCGTGAAACGAGGAACAAGCGGATCTCGCTCTCGAGTTTGTCCCCCTTGCTGCTCGGGCTTGTTTGGAAGCAAAAGGTGACGGCGCGGTGTTTGGGGGGAGCTGGGAGTGAAGGCTGACCTCTAGCTCTCCGCATCCTGGTTTTAAGGAAAAGCGGAGGAAATGGAGAGCCCTGCATTGTCTGAGAGTATCCCCCCAGGAGCTAAAAATACAGCTTGTGACAACTCCTCGCTTCGCTTCCCAGAGGAGAATCATTTGTGTACGGAAATACAATTGTTTCAGCTCATCTCCCAAACCAGCCAGGGCCAGACAGAATTGTCCTTGTCTTCTTCTTATCATAATCATCATCATTATCATCATAATTATTTTAATAACTGTTCAAGAAATGCCCATGGACTCTTCCTACCTAACTTCTTTTGGAAGTACCTGCAACAGCAACGACTCAGGCATCACCCGCACGTGCGTCCTCCTAGAGAAGTATTTATTAGTTCAGTTACGGGTCTCCGATCCCTTTTGGATGCATTTGCTCCAACCCAAGTTGTTGCCTGTGTGATTTCATTTCCCCGCCACCCTGAGAGGGGCCCCCGGGTCGCAGAGCGACCAGGCAGCTGGGACCTGTGTGCGTCCAGGTTTGGGGCATCCAGCCCTTGCCTTTTTCTGTCCCTGGGTCTTTGCCGGGCACCATCGGCTCCCCTTGAGATCAAGGGGTTGGAAAGCCCTTGGCGCTTGACAGGATCGGGCACTTAACTTTTGCCATCGTGTGGAAGCAAAATAATAGTAATAGTAGTAGTAATAGTACTAATCGTGCGTATGATCATAATCGTGATCACAATAATAGTTACCATAAACTTGATGATAAAAATCACGATCATCATAATCTCACTCATCATCATCATGACCCTCATCGTGATCGCAGCAATTATGATCATAATCATAATAATCTCGCAGCTCTTCCAAAGGAAATGCAAGGCTTGCGGGACGCTGACCCCCTCCAGCCACACAGCTTGGCCCCCGGCAATGGCTTTTTTAACAAAGGGGCCATGTATGCGAGTGTTTAGCCAGAGATCGGGAAGTTTGGGACGGGAGCTGCAGGGTGCTTCGCCTCATCGAAATCCGCGCTGCCCCGCTGTGTAGAGCCCGGGCACGGCGGCGCAGGGGTGGAGGGGCCGAGCCGCCCGCGCCCGGGGGGAGCCCCAGGGGAAGGGGCCGCGTGCGCGGCCCCCGGGCCGGGAGCGAGTCCCCGATCGGGAGCCGACGCTTACTTGGGAGCGGCTCATTTGGCTGCTGCCACTAGCAGGCAAGAGACTGCACGGAGGAAAGAGGGGCTCTCCTCCTGGCCCGGGAGAAACCTCCAACAAAATTTCCCAAGAGGATCAGGATCCAGCCCACGGTTTGCAGGGGAGGACTCCTGCTCAGATCTCTCCCTCTTTTGGAAGATGCAACTCAGTAGTTGCAATTATTACCAAACCTAATAAAGACAGATCGGCCCCAGCCAAGCGCATGGGTTTTAAACGGGCTGTTTAGAGCCGATTGGACTGGTTCCCGAAGTGGTTGAGGGCTCCCTCCCTGCCTGGTTAGCGAGCCGTGCTCTCTCTCTTTATTTCAGGGGGGACGTAGATCTTTCGGGTTAGTGTCATCTGGCCTTTCCGGGTGTTTGCTTTGTAACCCAGCGGTTTTTGGTTGGCCCCGTGTTTTCAGGAATTGAGCTTGGCTCCTCTTTCAGAGTTCAAACAGCTCGAGGGGAATCGGAAGTGCAGGGGACTTCCAGGGATCACCTAATCCAACTCCCTGCCTGAGGCAGGATCATCCCTATCCAAACCATCCCATACAAACCAAAACAGTTTCAGTGTGCATTTTAGCCCACGCATTTGAGTGCTGATTTTTTTTTTATCCTGGAAAAAAAAAAAACGGAATTGAACACACACCGGTTTACCAGCTACCTGGTAGGACTTTCCTCCAGGGGGGAGGGACAGAGCACCAACTCACACCTACCTCAAGGTTTTAAAAATGTTTGATATTTTTAATGAAAAGGAAAAGTAAATTAGGCCCCAACAGAAAAAGCAACATTGTTCCCATCCTTTCCTCACAATCTAGGGCTGGGACTGTACTCTACATAAAAACCAAGTGATCTTGGACCAGTTTAAGGCACAGACAGGTGTAGAATGGGGTTCTTGGTTAAATACAGCTATTTCAGTGGACTTACAGATGGGTTTATATCTGGTCATGATAAGAAAGGTAACACATGATAGAACTTGTCTAACTTTTGCTTAGACAAGTCATTGTAGGGAGAGAGAATCAGAGATACTGAGACTCCTCTCCTGGCTGCCAGGAATGGCAGTCCTCAGTTACCACAAAACATAGCAGGGAAAAACTGAAATGTTTCAGAAAGCAGGTGCTGGTTTAAACACCTAGAAAACTGGGAGGAGTCAAGGGTCATATGTCAGCTTCTGTAGCTGCAGAGCTATTCCATAGAGGGCTCTTTTCCTTATGTTTGTCCTGTGGTGGGCCACTAAAGGCCACTCTGAACTGCAGCCTCCACCAGATTTCGCTGTAAAATTAGCAAAGCGTTGCAAAGGAGAGCAGCCCCTCTCCATACAAAAGGCCCACCCTACTCCCAAGGAGTTTAGTGATGAGGGAGAATCAAGTCCCAACAGGAGGTAGATGAGCACTTTCCTTCAGAGGGGAGGGACAGAGCACCAACTCACACCTACCTCAAGGCTTTAAAAATATTTAATAATGTTTGATGATCTTTTCAATTAAAAAGGAAAGTAAATTGGGCCCCAAGAGAAAAAGCAGCATTACTCCAATCTTTTCCTCGGACCTTGGGGCTGAGAGTTTACTGTACATAAAGACAGGGCAAGTGATCTTGAAAGCATTTAAGACATAACCAGGTATAGGAGAACGGAGTTCTTGGTCAAGTAAAGGGAAGAGAAAAGCAGATGGGGATACTGGGGACAAAAGGTGTGTTTGAGGAAGGACAAAAGAGTGGAGACAGGTATTACTATTTCCCCTCCCAAAAGCAAGATGGGGTTTCTACCTTGATGAGGTAGGTATAAAAAAATCACTCATTCCTGGGGGGAGGGAGGGGGGAGTGGGGGGCAGGCAGGCTTTTAGTCTTCTGCCTGGACAGCTACCGACAAAGTGCCTGCTCCGCCAGGCTCCAGGGCAGAAGCATAGTGGACTTCCCAACTTCCACTTGTATAAAGGAGAAAGGAACACTTGAGATGAAAAGGGTGGTTTATTGGGACCAAAAGGAAACCACTTCCAATTTTGAAAATGTTGATTTATACATAGGGAGCCAGCTCGTTTATCCCATCCTCCCTGCAAATTCTGGTAAAGGGTTTAAATAAACCAAAGGTCCAGTAGTCATCTCAATGGCAGTGATAAGAGAGATAAACGCCTCCTTTATTATTAGATGAAAAAGTGGATTGTATGATGCATGTACTAACAGCTTTTGTTCCATGTAGATAGCAACCAAACTGCCCCCTCCAATTAGGCTAATATTTAAGCTAAAAGCAAAGGCTGAAGACATTAAAATGTAACCCCCCCCATCCCAAAAGAATAAGAAGTTGTAGCTTATAGTAGCAGCTTCAGCAAATACAATCAATGCAACTTAACCTAATACGTACTTGATTTTTTTTTTCCTTAAGCATCCCCAAGTTTGTACTTAAAAGTGGTATCTGCTCAGACAGACACACAGTATCAAGCAAAAGAGGCAGTTTTGGGAATTTCTTGTGACAGGTATCAAATAGGAAAAAAAAATCTGGAAGAACTGCCAGAGTTTGTCTCAACTGTCTTGGAACTTCACGGTTGCCACTCTTAGCTGCAACTTAATTTAACAAGATGTCTATAAACCCTTCTCACACCCAACCACACGTTTAAAAGAAAGGGATCAGTGACACAATATTTCTTTCTTGTTTCCATATGGGGGGGGGAGGGGTATGAAATGCTGGCTGGCAAGTGTAACTTCTGAATTTAATAAAGCTATGAAAATTTACATCAAATACAACAGAGTTATTGGGGTGTAACTTCAACTTTAAAAAAGTTCAGTATTTTGCTAGAGAGAAAGGAGTCTCAAAAATTAAAGTTCAAAGACAACTCCTCAAACTGCAAACGCAAGTCAACACAGTTTGAATGCAAGGTATTAATATACCATCATTTAACAACAGCAAATTACTTAGTAGAGAAGAGTGAAGTGCCCAACAGTTTGACAGCTGTAGTCTGCATGAGTGAGGATATAGTTTCCTGGGTTTTGAACAGCAGAAGAGACAAAATGCATGTCTGTTTAGGTATTGACTTTTAATAGCTTGTTTTGCATAAAGGGAACACAGGGATGTTTTTTATTTTGGAAATACAGGTATCAGTTAAGTTCTAAATACAACCTGATCCTTGCAATAGATCATGAACACAGTTTGGCTTCATTTCTTGTGTTGACTGAACAAGCATTTTTGTCAGACAAAATTTATAAGACAAATTTAAGTACAGTACTGTTGTAGATATTTTACTCTCTTCACATTTATATTGACACTCTGGACAAAATAAGATGTGTCACCTTGGCCCTGACTCCAAGTTCCACACACAGAACGCTGCATATTGTTACAGCAATACATTCAACCTACCATCACATTTTACTTGTCACAATAGGACAGATCAGTTGGGAATATCCATAATTCTTTCCTTCTTTGTCCAGAACAGTCAAATGCTCAGTCAATTAATCAAGAACCTTCACTTAAAATTATTTACTAGACACTGTAATCCAATAGGGAAATGGAATTTTAAAGGTTGACATGCTGCTGTAGTTGAAGTTTCAGAGGAAATTGCATACAAAAAGGGATTTTATATATGGTTTTCAATGTGTATTTTCATTTGTTAAAATAAAACCTGCATATAATTGATGACATTCAAGATTATCTCATATATGAATAATAGTTGGTTTGTGGCCAAAATAATATATTTAAAACCAACTCCCATTTTCTGTTTTTTTGATTTCCTCAAGTGTGCTTGCCCTTCCAACTGTAAAACAAAACAATCCTCATTCTTCTTCCCAGATCTATCAGATTCATTTACTGGGCAATAACCTTAACTTATACAACATACTATATAATGAGGCCAACTCCAGGGAATTAGATATTGAAATATTTGGCTTCTTGCACTCAGACAAACAGCTGTCTAAACATGATGCAACAGCTGAAATAAGTCTGTTAGAATAAAACCAACATTCATGAAAACAGCAACAGCCATCTAAAACATTCACAACAATAGGGATTTTTAGTTCTATGTGTAAATCTTGCATTAGATTTTTCTGTGAACAAAAAACATTTTTGTGAAATACCACTATATCCTTAAAATTCAGCAACTGAATTGTCATCCTTATATAGTAGTTTATAAAGTATACTAAAAAAATTTACTTAAACATATGAATTTAAGACTTTACTTTATTCAGCAAATTGGTTTATTTACACAATGGGGAACGCTGGTTGAAGGTTGTCAACGTAATAAAAACAAACTTAGAGGCAATACTGAACTCTCTCTATATATACATATTCATAGTAGAATTGACCAATTGTTTCCTTACCTGTATCAGGAACATCAAGCGCAACAGTGGGACAGTATCGTGGGACACTGATTTAACAATAAACCACAGAAGTCCAGTAATACCTTGGGAATTTACTTTTTTTTTTTTATTATTATTATTATTAAAAACCTAGCAAAACCCAGCATTAAGCTCCATCTTATATAAGAATGGACCTCTGCTCAGTGGGTCAGTAAAAACTTATCAGATCATCTGCAATTTATAAAGCGACCTGATCTCTTTCAGATCACCATTACAAAAACAAAATGGATGAGAACAGATTACTCTCTAAAAGGCAACAATGATCTGATAAGGATTTAACTTAATGGAAGTAAAAAAAAAAAAAAAAATTCAGAATTCCAGAGCACAGCCCCTGTTAGAACGAGCTAACTTTCCAGACTTTCAAAAAAAGGAAAAAAGACAAAAAAAATGAGGGGGGGAAAAAGGGAAAAAACAAAACAAAAAAAAAAACACTTCAACATGAAGCTACCATACAAAGTTTTTCTGGTTCATTTTTCTTTTAAAGAGTTCAGAGTTGCAATTTAATCCTGGGTCTTTAATGAAAAGGACAGTTTTGGCCTAGATTTTCCCTTGCCCAGGATCATTTTTTGCTCTTCCTTTTGCTGACGTTGTCTCTCTTGTTCTAGTTTCATCCTCTCCTCGTGAATCTTTCTTTGTTCTTCAACAATTTTCAATTGTTCTTCAGCCTGAATATGAAAACAGCAGAATTTAGACCAATGCACAATATTTTTCTAGCTCTATATTCATTTACACCACTTTACTTGTTGAACCACCAATTATAGGGCCCAATTCTGCACTTTACTTTACTCAAGTTACCAAGCCCCGTGGTTTCAGTGGTTTTATGTATACTTGTTAACAGAATAAGACTATTTCATATCTATTCTAGCTTTGATGCCAACAACTTTGCTTCACAGATTTGAAAGCTAATGTGCACATCAAAATCTTGAACATAGTGCTCTTCAGTCAACACCTTACAGGTCTTATTTATGCACATCAGTATTGAACATAAACACTGTTATTTTTCTAGTATTAAAGTATGGAAAGAAGCATAAACACTTCCCATAAACAAACATTTTCCTAATACTTGTTTGTTTTTGAGGAATTAAGGGAAAGGCATCCACCCTCTCAAGTTTTCATCTGATTTCTTTTTAAACCTGATACACAACTCCTTGTGCTTCACACCCACAACATACACAAGACATTCAATGGGATAACGTGTAAAGTTAGCTTCCTGTTTTTAGAAGGGGATACAATTTACTAACCGAAAGATCTGAAAAAAGTTCTTTAAATTTTATCCTTCTGTTTTTATTAAATGGTGTATATTCTCTCCCAATGATGCCTTATTTGTTTACCTCCCCCCTCCACAAAAGATACAGGAAACATGACAATATGTCTGTAAAACCTGACAGTGAGATTCTAGAGCAGGTGTAATTCCAAAAGCCTATTTTAATAGATACCTTACCTATATGAAAGGGTTGCTCTGGATTAAGTAAGCATGTAATTTTTGTAGCTAGGTGTGAACATCTGTCAGGGATTTGTTTCATGTTAAAGTAGGCTTATTCAGCTTAGCTTAAAATGATTAGGCATCAGTTAAAGCTAAACCAAAAGAAAACTGCTCAAGAAAATACCCGGTGTCCCACAGGGGTTTGTATTTTCATTCAGGAATGACAGTGCACCCCAGCAACTGCCCATCAGAATTTTATTTACATCAAACAAATTTTAACATGCTCTACGACCTTAGGAAAAAATAATCACCCATCAGAACACACAACAGTATGTAGGTAGCCATAAAAATAAATTGCATATTTCTAAAACTGAATTCTGATTCAACTTCTAAGAGATAAAATAATAATTTAGCTTCATGTGAGAGATAGGGTTAAATGCTTTAAATTTCAAAGTTAACATAAAAATGTGTCCTTTAATTCTGTATTTACATGGTTTCAGGCTGTAGTTGTTATTAATGGTTCAATCTGCCCCAGGCTGAAGTCAAAGGTGCATTGCCATCAACTTCCATGGGAACAGGCAGGAGCAGATCCTAGAATAGCTCTGTTTTTACTAACTGGTGTATCCAGGAAAGGAATTGGTACACATCTATATTACATAAGCTCCATTTCTACGTACCAGCTTAGCTTGTGCTTCTGCAATTTTTCGATTATTCTCTTCTAGTATTCGTTCTAGTTCCTCACGCTTTGCACGTTCTTCCTCCTAAACGGGAGGACAGGGTAAGATGTTAGGAAAGTAAAATACTCATTCATGCATGTTCACTAAACTTCCTCAGAAATCTTTTGTGATCTGACTTAAAGGGGCAGCTTTATAGCCACCCATTTCGTCTCACAAACTGTAAGATGTGCAGCCACTAAAACTGGTCTCTAACACTAAATTTAAATCATCCCTCCCAGTCCAAACAGCAACCAACTAAACCCTCCCTAATCACAGAATCCTGACAATTTATTACTAGTATTTTAATATCACACAAATCAACAAGGACAACTACAAAAACTGGATAGTATTTACCAAATTAAAAAGTAATATATAAAATATAAATAAAGCGAATAGTTTGTCTCACCAATTAAGTATACCTACGTATTCTTTACCTATACTCCTTTAATCAGCATTAAAAGTTGAATATTTACTGTCTTGTCCAGTGTCCTGCAGAGTGTGCTCCTCGGCTGCCATACGCGCCAGCTTCCTCTTTAAAATGATTTGTACTGTTAGCTTGGCAATACCTGCATCAGCAGCTCAACCATTTATAAAGAAACAACATACAAGGAAGGCTGAGCTGAGGAATGCAGATGTTTATGATAAGAAGGAACAAAAATATGTAAATCATTCCTAAGGCAAACAATTAATAAGAAAAATACATTTACTGTTAGTGAAAAATACAAATGGTAATCCATACTTCATGGAACTAAGGGCTTCTTTCATGGGGAAAATGGATTTCAACATTCAATGTTTTGACAATTTTTAAGACAGCTTGAACTGTCATCTACAATCTGAACTTGGAATTCAGGAGTCCAGGCAAGGCAACATCAGGAAATAAAGCCTTATAAATTGTTGCTTCCTTGGTGAATTTTATGAATCTTTATGATGCAGATCATAAATATGAAGACTGCGTGAAGGTTTTTTTAAGTGTTTCAGTTCACATAATAAATATCCAAATTAATTTAATATTTGGGAGATTTATATCAGCCAGAGGTTTATGTCTGTGTAAAAAAAAAAGTTAACATGAAACAAAGCAAGCATGTGAAGAGAAAACTTCTTACTATGACTAGTAACCAGCTACTAGACAGCACACTTCACTCCAGGAATAGAAGTTTATTCTATATAGTAAAGCACTGATGGAGACAACTCCACATCAGACCTGACCATTTTCTTTGAAAACCTAATTTGTGTCAGGGGCAATTGCTATCAGATTAAATCCACCATATATAAAAGCATTTCCCGAACTTAACTGTCGGAATCTGAAATGGTTTCTTTCATTTTTGTTTTAAAAAAAGAGAAACTCAGTTTTCAAACAAATGGGATTCAGTATTCCGCATATCAATTATACTCCAGCAATCAACTTTTATCTCAAAGATATACTGGCAAACAAACAGGTCACATTTAGCCTGCAGGGGAAAGCATAAATAGTTGTGGCTTTCCTGTTGTAAATTAATCAAGTTATTCATGATACCAATGAGTTGGAGAGCGAGAAAGTTATTTTATGCTCAGTGCTACTTAATTATATGTTTCTTTAAAGGTTTACAAATTTGACTTTAAATTTTCAGATCCTGGAATGATGGTGCAAGACAAGCATCAAAGCCTTCAGTAGCAAATTACTGTCTCACAGAAAGACATTTTCAGCTTCTGCTCCAGCTGCTGATTAAAAAAAAAGAAAAGAAAAGAAAAAGAACAAGTCACATGTTCAGCTTGACTTCAGACAAAGGGCAACCTGCTCTTTTATAACTTCAAGGGAAAAAAAGGAGTTGTTAGTTGTTATTAAAAGTGGACGCAATGATTTTGATATAGGTCCGTGGTGAAGACAGTTGATGGGCTTATGCTCAAAGTACTGGAATTAGTCCAATGTATGCTCAAGGAGAATGTCTGTTTTGAAGGGAGAATAAGAAAACCTATTTGTTAAAAGACAGGTACTGCAGCTCAGTGCTGGACCCTGCTCTTTTCCTGACTGAAGGCAAAAGCCTCTTACAGTCTAAGTAAACAAAACAAAACAAATGAAGGATACATAATTACAGATTTTAAAACCCTTCTCCCCAAAAAAGAAAAAGGACTGTTGATAAATCCTGCAGCCATGGCAAAAGTTTCAAACAATTCTCAAATATGTAGGTCAGTTCCATTAAAAATTCAAGTATCCTTGTACAGGTTTTAGAAGAGTAACTGTTTTTAGTATCAGTGAGCTCCTCTGAATAAGCTAGAAATTAAGTTTCTCAGCAATGCAAGTTTACACGAGAAGGGAATTAGATTTTCTGTATTCCATCTCTTTCTGAACCGAACAGGAGGCACAAACCGACACTGAAAGTTTTGCCATGGACTGTCTCTACTTTCCAAACGACCGAGCGTTACCTCTCTGGCTTTTTGTGCAGCAAGTTCAGCTTGTCGCTGTCGCTCGAGTTCTTCGAGCAACTGCTTTTCCATGATGCGCTTAGCCTCCTCCACCCTGCGAAGAACTTCTCGCTCAATCTCATCTTTCCGTTTCTCCAACTCTTCCTCTACGCGCTTAGCCACAAGTTCTTCCACTCTTCGTGCAGTTTCTTCCTCTATGAGTTTCTCTTCAATTTCTTGTTGGCGGCTACAAGGAAACAAATAGGGAAATACTGATTTGGCTATTCTAAAAGCAATTAAACTGAACTAAATGTTTGTATATCATTTAATTTAAAGACTTACTAAAAATATTACATTGGGGGATATATATTTAAATGCTTAGAGTTTATATGTGTAGCTTGTCCCACAGAAAGAGTCTTTTGCTTTGTGTTTGGAAAAAGCAAGCCTGGTAATAACTGAGTGGGCCCACCAAACATCCTACCACCATACCATGTATGACAGACTCTAAAATGTTATACATAAGAAACCAGCAATTATGATGGGGGTGTGATATTACTTGATATGGCATACTCATCATTCCAACTTTCAAAGCTAGCTATGTTTTGGCATTAATGAAACTATGAACTAGGGCAGCCTTCCCCTTCCAAAAGTTCAGAAGATTTTCTTTTCTGTTATACAAAGCAATAAAATCTTTCCTTAATATTTCCACAAAGATATCAAACTGGTCTCTAATAATTACAGTAAAAAAACAAACAAAACAGATTTGTAATGGGAATTCCTGACTACACAACAAGGTTCCAACAATAATAATTTGAACCATATAAAAATTGCAGCTCTTTATGTAAAACATTATTATTCAAAACACATCAATTATGAAACCCTGATTTTTTCGTTACATTTAAATCTCTCTCTAGTTGGTTAGTGTCTTTAAGGGTTAAACATAAAATGTACTTTTCACACCATCTTAACCACAATAGGTCATGCTCTCTCAAATGCTTCCTATCATAATAGGAAGGGAGTTCACACTTGCAATATCAGGCCTACTTATGAAAAATATTCATATACTAACAGGATGGTCATTTCGTAAAATGAGACTCTTCCATAAACTGTTCTTTAAGCCATATTCATGTACGGATTATTATGTCTTATTTTTCACACACATATTCCACTTTTCGGTTTAAACTCAAGTGCTGTAATTAAACTTGATTTTAACATTCAAGACACTACAATACCACAATGGTTAAATACTACAACAGTTAAAAAAAATCTTCATGTATCAGCACTGATAAGATCCCGTTTAGAACTAAACTGGTTTTATTTCCTGTCACTTTCAGAAAATGAAACAAAGAAATTCAAGTATGGTTCACTGCATTTGTCTTTAAAAAAAACACCTTTAATTATATTAAGAAAAAAATCCCCTCCGGTGTTATTTCCCAATATGTAACACATAAAATGACTTTAAATGAGTTAAAGATATAACAAATTGGGTAAGACAGTAGAGAGAATACACTCATGTCAATAGCATGTTTGTAACATGGAGATGATGGCTCCAAAGTTTTATGGATTTACATGCCATCTCTTTAAAAACAGAACATCAAATTCACATTTTAGAACATGAACTGCTGACTCTTTAGAACTATAGCTTAAGCCCTCCAATAAGAGTCAATTTAGGTTCTCACTGTTCTGAGGCATAAGTGGGCTCTTTTTGGCAAAACCTTAAACCAATGATCTCTCTTCAAGTGGACACCAACAGATCTTTTTTGAAGACCCCCCAATAAAAGTTTCTTTACCCACTCCTTCCTCTATACAGATACTTGCTATACTTGCAAATATACTACACTTTCTCTCTAGTGGTGGCTAAAAGGTTCTTGTATCACTATGATGGGGAGTATTTTTTAAAACTTTCATAATACAGTAGACAATAATTTAATATTTTAATTTGCATAGTTTTTAATTTAGTAATGAATGTCTTGTAACTACTAAATTGAGAAACAAATTGACACCTGGTATACGAATCTACTGAAGTTTATTTTTGCATGAAGTTGGTGGCCACAGTTGTCTCATGTTCAGTCACTTGAATAAAGTTAAACTCAGATGAAAATTTAACTGAATTCTAAACAAAAAAGTTTCAGGAAATTTATCATTTAAAAATGAGATGTTCATGTATCAACAAATGTGAATATCCTCTTAATTAAACACTGCATCTGTAAAGGTCTTGCCTCCTCTCCCACAAAAGTATTTAAATTCATAATTAGAACAGGGATGTGCACAACTTTCTTTATCCATATTTGGATCACTGTATTACAGCGATACATAAATATTCAGAAAAAAGGTAGTTTTCCAAGAAATGTAAAAAAAAACCGCAGAAAAGTTCAATGTGGTTTAAAAAAAACCACGTTTTTAACAAATAAATGCAAGAAATGTATTATCAAAAGTTCTGTAATAAATCTTTAAGTATAAATGACAAGGAGGTTTAACCCTTCAAGTCAATGGCAGTTTCAGTTTTGCAAGAAATGTAGGATCAGGCCTACATATATTTATGTTGCAGTTCATATTACGGGTTCATGATATCTGCACGTAGATACAAATTTAATATCCTTTGTTAATTATCAGCTTCCAGAGACATAAGGAAGTCAGTAAACTGAAACAAGCATGCTTTAGTAAGTATTACAGCATTTTATGAAGGATAAAAGAAGGTAAATGCTTTCATATATAGCAAGCTCACTGAATAAAAGTGTTCATTTTAATTTCAAGCCTAACATAGAAAGGAAGTACATGTAGGGGGGAAAAAAAAAAAAGTCTCTCAGTATCCAGTACAAAGTTTGGTAGAAGCAGACTCGGGAATAAAACCATTCTATGATTACATGCAGCCAGTTCATTTGATAAGTAAAACCCAGTGTCAAATACAGAGGCCATGCTTAGTACAATTATTACAAGAAAAAAATTCAAATGTAATACAGCTTGCCACATTACTAGACCCAAAGGGAATATTTCATATTACAAAAGAAAAATTTGGGTTATATCTTTAAAAAAACCCATATAACTAACAGGTCCTTTGAAACCTGATGTACTTTGAAAATGCTGAAGCTTTGTGGGCCTAATACATTTTTGTGAAAGATTGTATTTTACTCTGCTGCTGCTACTTGGATCAACTTTCACCATATGAATGTTTTACATTTGTTACTCTTCGCCTTCATGGAGTAACAAAATTTATTTAAAAAAACTTAAATCACATGTTAAGAGACTAGAGCTGTGCATTATTCAGGGAAACAGAAAGAAGACTTGTTGAAGGCTTGTTACAGTTTCAATCAAAAATATTTATTGGCAACACAATTACTGAAGTACTTTATATAAATATCCTGTTTTTTTTCATTTTCCTTTTGTATTCTTTATGCCTTTCAAAAAAATAGGTTTAGTCTGAGATTGATTTATTACTTCTCACTGAATGTGTAGTACAAATTCTTTCACAAGTTACTGAATACTCTCATAGTATCCAGATCTGAGAAAGCTAGTGACTGCATTTACAACTCATTTAAAAGGACAAAAGAGAACCAAAAAAAAACCAAAAAAACAAAAAAACCTGACCAAAAATATTAAGAATGAAAATAAGAGGCAGAACATTTAAAATTGATCAAAACTGGATTCTGTCACTTATATAAAGAGTAGGTTCTCTGAAACTCTCATCCTGATTTTTTTGGATTCAATAAATAAAAGTCAGGACCAGTGACCAAAATAGTTCATTTTTAAACGCATGCGTTGGGTTACTCCGCAAATCTGATGTCATCGCTGCTGAACAGTTTAGTTGGCAAGGGACAAGAGCAATCCCAAAGAACAGAGCGGAACTGAAAGCAGAAACAGAAAGACCACAACTTCCAAAAATCTCCTCAGGTCCGCTTACTTCCTTTGCTATATAGTAGCTTGAAGTGAGCCAAAGCAGCCAGTTTGCTCTTGCAGTACCACGAACAAGCCTAGCTGCCATTTGAATCTATGAATCCATACACTTAAGAATATGAGAATCAGATCCCCCTCCCACCCAATTCAGAAAAATAAATTAAAAAATTATTCTATTGCAAAGAACAGAGACCACAACAGGCCAGAACGTTCTCAATACTACAAATTCCTATTTGAAACCCCTTATTAGACCAACTAAATGGTTGGAAAGATTTTTCCAATTATTTAGTTGGTCTAATAAAAGACATCCCATCCACTCAAAGATTCTTGTCTGCCCATGTCCTTAGACCAACATAGCAACAACCAACAACCCTACTTGAAACCTCAGGACAGGGGTAGGCAGCCTTTAGCCTGGGTGCCAGAGTGTGGCATGCAAAGGCACTTTGCTTGGCACATATGCCTTGGGGCAGACAGTGGGGCCACAACAAGGATCAGGTCCTCCACAGCTCCCCCACCACCCACCCTGGCACACCAACATGTTACAAGTTGAGGTTGCAGGTGTTTTAGGCACTTGGCCCCAAAATGTTGCTAACCACTGCCTCAAGAGTTTTCCTTCAGGACCACATGCTGGCAGGAGAGGCCTAGCTAGGCCTGACAATGGATCCCAACCTACTGGGATTGCCTCCCAGAACATATATTTACATATATCTACCTATATATCTACATAGCAAGGAGGAAGGTGGGGTGGCCTTAAAACACTGGCCTAGGCCTGACCACAGATCCCAACCATCACCCAGGATCCCCTGCTGTTGCCTCAACAAATATGCATTTATGTATTTCTATCTATGTATCTATATCTACATATTTACATAGCAAAGAGGAAGATGGGGTGATGTTAAGACACTGCCCTAGGCCTGACCATAGATAGCAACCATCTCCAGCGATCCCTTGCTGTTGCCTCCCAGAACGTAGAGATAATTACACAGATGTATATCACATAGCAAGGAGAAAAATGGGATGGCCTAGGCCTGACCATGGATCCCAACCATCACCCGGGATTCCCTGCTGTTGCCTCCCAAAATATACAGATAGAAAGATATGGATATATATATTTTGGGAGGCAACAGCAGGGAATCCCGGGTGATGGTTGGGAGCTGTGGTCAGGCCTAGGCCTTAAGGCCACCTCATCTTCCTCTTTGCTCTGTAGATATATAGGTATAGATATATATATCCATATCTTTCTATCTATATATCTATACCTATATATCTACAGAGCAAAGAGGAAGATGAGGTGGCCTTAAGGCCTAGGCCTGACCACAGCTCCCAGCCACCACCCAGGATCCACTGCATTGCCTCCCAAAATATATAGATAAAGACATGGATATATATTTTGGGAGGCAACAGCAGGGGATCCCAGGTGATGGTTGGGATCTGTGGTCAGGCCTAAGCCTTAAGGCCACTCCACCTTCCTCTTTGCTCTGTAGATATATAGGTATAGATATAGAGATAGAAATACACAGATATATATCTACAGAGCAAAGAGGAAGGTGGGGTGGCCCTAAGACACCAGCCTGGGCCTGACCATGGATCCCAACCATCACCGGGGATCCCCTGCTGTTGCCTCCCAAAACATGTATTTATGTAATCATCTCTGTACATCTATATCCATCTACCTCCATAACAAAGCGGGTGGTCTTAAAACACCTGCAATGTCTGAAGCCCTGCCCTACCCAGGCCAGGAGAGGAGGCAGGGCTCTTCACCCCACAGCCATCCCAAGCCAGGTGAAGCCAGGAGCTCCCAGGACCTCCTCCCTCCTTTCCTGGCTACAGTGCAGAGACCAGGGGGCCACCGGGCTGGACAGCGCTCCCCACCGGCTCTCATCCCTGCCAGCGCCAGGGAAGGGGGGGGCCGGTGGGAGGGCCCGGGCTCCCCCCTCCCCCTTCCCGGCGGGAGATTCGTGGCGGCGGAGACAGAGGCGGACGCGGGGGGGGAGAGGAGGGGGGACACACGCTCACATTTTGCGCTGCCGCTCGAACTCGGCCTTCTT